GGGGGGGGGGGGGGGGGGGGGGGGGGGCAGGGTATTCAAATTTGAAAGAAAATAAGCGTACCTCAGCTCGAAAGATATCCAATGCAAACCCATTGAAACAGTTAATCACAGCTTGTTGAATGTCTAGGCCAAGGATGTCCAGAGCCCTCATAGTGGAGAGCAAAAGGCCTGGTCTGTTACCACAAAACATGTGAATATTGACGGCTCTCCCTTCTCTTAACCTTACCTCAACCTACAAATATGGATGCACTAATCATTAACTTCAAACATGCTCCAAAAGAAATTAACCAATCCCAATAGGACTTCTCATCATAAATACTCAAGAATCAAACTTAGAAAACAGTTGAGAATAATTCTGTAAAACTAATGAAGATAAGTTTGAACTAAATTAATGAAGTCACCCTTGTGGATTGTCCTGTTGGGCTAGATAATATACTCACAAATGCACTTGGGCATAGTTCTTCCTGGATACAACAGAGAAGGCCTGGTGTTGTAGGAGTCAAAGGATAGAAGTTCAAGAGTGGAGACAATGAAGAGCAAGAAGGGGTGGACTCCAGTTCATTATGGAGGTCATTGATCTTCTGCAGCAGTTCCTTTAAATACTCAACCGCATCCCCTAGTATTGAGGCCCTGTCCATCTATCAACACAGAAGAAAGACATAGGCACAACAGCAGTTCAGAGATCAGTAAATTTCGATGATACAAAAGATCGATATCCTTCCTTTCGTCAAAAATGAGCAACAAAGATGGTATTAGAATGATTTCCAGAATACAATTCTGGTTATTCATCTGATTACCTAGACAGATAGCATATCCATATATCCATGGATCTTAAAAAAGATATTTCTTTTACCGTGCAACAATTTAAAAAATCAGCTACATAAATTTAGTACACTTAAATTACTTCTTCGAAGTCAAGTGCTAACAAGTCTTTTGTAAGGTTTTGATCTGAAGTAATTGTAGATAGGAAGTGACTAACATAGTTACATATATGCATGTGCCTAATGTGTGTATGAACTGTGAATTAAGTAGATTTTAGGAAGATATCAGACTGAGGAGTAAATTTTCCTGGGAGACGCATGGCCATGGGTTTTTGGTATGAATTATAAAGCTATTCAACCTTACCTCATTAAGAAATGCATGAAAACAATATTGTTAATCTTGAATGTATTTTAATAATTACTCGAAGGAAACTAATAAATGTTAACACAAGTATTTTCATGAAGTAAATTAGCAAAATTCGTATATAAGAAAAAGCATCCCCCTATTATCTAAAAGATGTGTTATTCTTATTTTACATGATTTTAATGGAACAAAATAACAACAATACGAGAGTATAGAAAGATTTAAAATTTTAAATTCAAGATAGCATGCAAGACATGAACATCAGATACCAGCTAGAAAACTAACGTGCAAAATTCTAAAGTGCAAGACACGTGCACTAGAAATCAGTAAGCAAGAGACATGAATCAGAAATGGTTGTCTTAAAAGCTAGAACGACTAAGAAAATGGAAAGTAAAAAAGAAAAGAAAAATTGAATGAGAAGAAATGGGCAAGTGTGAGAAGGATAGTGAAGAGGGCTGGGACCTGAGGCTAAGGTTACAGATTACTCAAGTATAGATTCAGAATTTCAAATTTTATTATCTTGTTCGAAATGTTGCTGAAGAAATAAATTCTAGTGTTTCATTATTTTAATTATTTTAGTAGCTTTCAAATGAATCTGATCTGTGGTCCTAAACTCGCTACACATTTTGGAATCAGTTCATAGACTTCATGTGAGTAATTTAATGCTATCATACGAATTTAATGTGCATGCTGTTCAAACAAATATGCATATCAAAATATTGCTACTCATCAATGATATACAACCAATTTTCAAATTTGGAAAAAAAAAAAAAAAGGATGAATGTGAACGACTAAAACATATCAATAACAATAAAGTATAATTCACGAGAAATTTCTTTAAAGAGATCCATACCCTGCTAATCTTTGGTACAACAGACCTCAGCAAGTAAAGCCTGTCATTGAGCTTCTTCCTCCGGCGCCTTTCAGCCATTAAATTCTTAGCCGGAAGCCCCTTCTTCTTACCCTTGTGATCTCCACTACCACCGCAGGTGACAGTGCTATTAACATTCGAGCTACTTCCGCCATTTTTACCAATCTCTTCCACCTTGTTGATAGTACTATTCTCCAGAAATTGATCATCAGAGTCATAGTTCAAGTTGGATCCATCAATGCTAAAATCCTCCCCATCATCCCCGCTACTGTTTTTCCTCTTCCTCTCATTTACATCACTAAATTCCCCCTTCTTGTCAAAGCCTTCAAGGCTAGTAGAACTTCGAGAATGATTGATTTCACCACCTAAATTCAAAGACCCCAAATTGCTGACACTCCCACTAGCAAGATTCTTCCTTAGAGCAGCCCTTTTCTGAAAGAGTGTTGGTTGTGATCCAATTGAAGCAAAACCATCAAGAGGTTTCAAAATCTTAGAACTATTAACGAACAATGGATTCCCATTCATGGAACCCTCCCCAAATCCCATTACTCCAAAGCCCTCACTGGATTGAGGCAGTTGAAGAAAATTATTAGTGGAAAACTGATGATTAAAGCTCCAATTAAGAGTACCCATTTGCGATTGAGTACTTAAATCATTAGAACAATTATTCAGCATCCCAGTTCCCCGATTTAAAGCACTTTCAAGAAACCCATTATCACAACCAAAATCAAATGTCCCCTCTAAAAGATTGCTGTGAATTGGATTCATGAGTGTTGAGTTTTTCGGTGGCATAAAATAGTTTAACTGATGAGATGGATCCAAAGAATTGAGAACTGAAGCAGACGTTGGGGAGCACGAAGCAGAAGAATCCACTTGCTGTAAAACAGGATGATGATTATCAGCATCAATAAACTTGGGTGAAAAAGAGATGTTACCCAGGTCAAGGTGATTGGCGCCATGCATGTCGATTTCATGGCTGCTGGTCGCGGTGGGAGTGGCGGTGACCGACATGTACCAGCCGGCTTCATTTTCAGCTTCGAGCATAGATTTAAATGAAGAAAGTGTAACAAGTTCTGCATCATCTTTATTCTCCAAATCGCCATTCTTATTGCTTTGAGTCCATAAATTTGTTTCTTCCACTTCTTTGTCTCCATCCATCCACGACATACTATTAGTTCTTGACACTATTTATTCTCTCCCTCTCTTAAAATTCTAGAAAATATATATATGGGCTGGCTTAAAGAACTGCTTTTGATATATAGAGAGAACGAGGTGGGGTGGGCGTTAAAGAATGGAGAAAGCGAAATGGCTTTACGGCTTTACGCTTTTATCAGAAGAGAGTGCTTATATGGCCGAGGCAATGTGATAGATAACACCAAAAGCTTCTAATGTAACGTTTTCATGGCCGCTGTGTAATCATTACATGGTGGGATGGCGGGGGGGTGGGGGGTGATGTATATGTATAGATGATGCATGTATATGAGCATTATATGGCTTTTTTATGGAATTTATGAAGTGTGTTTGTTCGAAAAAGTGCACTTTCTACTTCTTTTTGTTTTCTTCATATCTCTAATTAGGATTTAAGATAAAGATCATGCTACATGTACAAATTTTTTTTACAAACTCTTTTATTCACTACTCATAATGGGAGTGAGGACCACAAGCCGATATTTTTTAAATTCACTTAGGATACGCTAATTTTGTGAGAGTGAAAATTATCTTTATCCTTAAAACCATAAGAGTAATCATTAATTACAGCTAATTTTGTGAGAAGACGACAAATTGAGAGTGTCTACCACGCAGTAGTGAACACGGTTAATTTGTGAGAAGAAGATGAGTTAGAAAAGTTTATCACGTGATATTGAACACAAATAATTTGTGAGATGAAGAAAAGTAAGAAACATTTAACATATAGTATTGAATGAAATTACACGCAATAAAAAGAATTTGAACTTCTTTTATTATGAATTAAGATTTTTACCTAGTTCGAGAGAAGTAAAAAAAAAAAAAAAAAAAGAAATGCGAAAAAGTGAAGTTTTCATAGATATTTATATTGAATAACCTTAATAGGAGAATTATATTCATTGATTGTTGCATATTTTCACTGTGAAGAAGATGATTAGATGATGATCTCGTGATTCAAATCACTAAAGTAATGAGATAGCTTAGTACAAAGTACAAACATGAAGCTCAATTTATTTTGATATTAAAAAAATTATGATAGTGCATAATTGGACGGTATAAATTTCAACATCTTTGTTCTTTGGTTTTGCAATTCAAACAAGGCCAATGACAGGCCCTGTTGACAAGCCTAGGTGTTGGCCTTAATTGTTATTTTGCAGGCCCCATGAAATTCAAGATCTTGACACCTCGGCCTGGATTTAATCTCGAGTTTTGTAGCAAGGCTCTTGTTCTTTTAATACTCTTCATCACCGTATAATTCACCTTACCAAATGTAGCATACTAAATTATTGTGAAAAGCACTATTTCACCCTTATTATTATCTTTTTTTTTTTTTTTTTCAAACTCATTTTCAACCATTCAATCTTCTAATAAAGTAATATTGCTATGCACTTATAAAATTTTCCTACTTTTTAACTACACATTCTTTAAAAAAAATAATTTTCACCAAATTTATTGTAAAAAATTCTCTACCAAATATTAACTAAATATAAATCACGAGAAGTGCCACTTTTAATTTAGGATTAGTGTGTCCTAATAATAATGTTTTTATCCCTACCAGGGATGATCATCAACATACAAGGAACAGAGGAAGGTGATGTGCTATGAAATGATAAAATAATGCTATGTGATGTGCTATGAAATGATAAAATAATACTACGTAGTTCAAATAATATTTTCCATGGCATGATATTAGGAAAAATCATTGTCATTACTCAAACAAGCATGAAACATATGCTTGTGCTTTCATCCTTATAGCTCTATGAGAATGTATTACGTCGAGAATTTCAGCAATTTGTTGAATCGATACGAACTGTGATCCTAATGTTTAGTATCCATTTACATGATGTCACAATTACAGCGTATAATTAATCGATTGTACTATACGTACATAATAGTTTACATACCCTTGATGTAGTCAAATAAAATTATGTCAAAATTTTTTCAACCAAATAATAAAAAAAGTTAAAAATTCTCTACTCATTTTTTATCACCTTATCTATATGTAAATCATTATGTAATTAACTTCATTATTTACAAAATACAAAATAGCATTATTCATAATTAAATATATTCAATGCAACAAGATGGACTTTATCGGGATTGAGAAAGTATAGATTAAGAAGTAATGGATGAATCTTCGTAAAATTTTCGAGAATGTGAATATCCCCACATTTAATTGAAATTAATATTATTTATCCAAACTATGACAATTTAGTGGCATTCATATACTCCACATTTAATTGAAATTAATATTATTTATCTAGACTATGACAATTTAGTGGCATTCATATACTTGTTACCTAATGGAATTCATATTACTATACTAAAATGAGATATCAATTGATTACCCTTAATTGTCACATGATTCTAGGTATATAATAATATTCATTTAAGTGGACTTGTAATGACATTGGATTACCATATAGTAAACACCACTTGTGCTATATAACATAATTTGAAATGATAAAATCAATTAAATGTATAAATATGAGATCCACTTAATTAATCATATCATTTAATGTTACATCACATCACATCACATTGTGATAGAAATAAATAACACTCTTAACGTAAAGAAAAAAGCTTAAGGTACAGGGGCCTTATTCACAGCCCCTGCCAGATGTGAGAGAAGGTGGGGGGCGGGCCCCACCTTTTTTTTTAATTGCTGTGGATCCGACCCCCCTACAGTGAGGGGTCTGTACACCCCTTGTGAACCGAGCTCCTGTACGTGAAGCTCGATTCTAACGTAAATTACACGAAAAATGTTTTAAATTGTGTATTTTATCGCTTATGAAGGACACAATAGTATTTATTTGTCACTGTTTTGGTCTCATTTAAACCATCTTCAATTGCAATTTTTTCTTTATACTTTAAATGTGGAATCCATGTTTAAACTTCACGAACTCTTCCTTCGATTATGAATTTTGTATCAAAATCGACCATTTGGTAAATTCAAGTTAATCCTCAAGTTTTTAATATTTCTTTTTTCTTTTAAGTTACTTTATTGCAATTTACACCCTAGTTATTTGATGAAACTTTGAGAAATAAAGCAAACAAGAATTTCGTGAAAATCAATCACAATCTAAATTCTCTTGGCCCACAATTTTTTTGTGAGTTGAAATTTATTATCCAATTATGCTGTCAAATTTGTTGCACCCAATTACAAATTGACACATCATCGAAAATTAAAATTAATATTAAGATTGAAAAATTAAAAATGATGAAAACTTTAATTTTATATGGTGTGTCAATTTATAATTAGATGAATAGAAAATTGGACTGCAAAAATGGACAATGGATCTCAATTCATTTTTGTGAGTATATGGTTGCTCAATGGTTACTTACATCCACCTTATTTACAAGAATAATTCTATTTAACATTAGTGATGCTAAAACACCCATTTATGCGGTGACATTTTATTGGTTCATTTAAATTAGTCATGTGATTTTTTATTTATTTAAATGAATCTATCATTTAATACTATGTAATTATCACTTAAACTTACGCTTAATACTAGCAGTAACAAATAGCATTACTTAATTACAATGTGCCTCGCCTCACACTTGTCACTTTTGGTTACAGTAAAATCGATATTTTATCAATATAAATCTCAATTCGTTACAAAAATTGTTCATTGCACTAGACATTATTGAACGGTATTAAGAAAAAACTATCCACCGCCAGTGTAAAATTTGTTTTCTAAATGTTATTGAACTTTAAAAGTTCTTCGCATTGTCATTGTAATTTTCAAAATGTTATTTTTATTTGTCAATCCATCACTCGTCATTTAAAATTTAATGGCAATTGAAAAATATTTAAGAAAATTTAATGACAATTGAAAATTTTAACCCCCGTTTTCTCTAAGATAAAACAATTAAACTGAAATAATGTTATTTCAGTTTTCAATATGAAATGAGTTCAAAACTCAATCGAATGTAAACCATCGCTACAATTTTCCATCATCTCTAATTAAACTAGTATAGTTGATAGTTGAGAACTTCTAGCATTCGTGATTTTTTGGAAAATGCTAATATTTCATGAATTATTATTATAATAAATTGTGACAATGTTTTTTCAAATAAAAATATAATTATAAATTGAATCATGAGCAAATACAATCACAACATTTTGTAAATTATTCAACTATCTTATTGCTAGCACCGTAATGCGACCTTCCTAGGAACAAACGGTGCCTTAGGTTGTCCTATCTACATGGATTATTCCCTGTGCACAGAAAAAATCCACAAAAGTTTTACAAGCTATCACATGGGGCTCCATGTGATATTTTATTGCAAAAAATAAATTACCCACCCCACTGTTGAGTGTTGTCTGTAAAATATCTGTAAAATTTCTCGTACATTTAGCTTGACTCTATCTATATAGACAAAAAATGTCATGTCTGGAGCAATAGCACCGTTTGAGTCCCTTTTGAGGAAAAATATATTTTGAAATAATTATGTTTTGAAGAAAGATCAATAGCAGAAAACCCCTATAAACGTTTTTATGTACGATATACCATCCTATCTATTGAAAAAGGTATAAACTCCCCTATTTGAAACCTTTTGTGCGAAAAATCCCCACATTTAAGATCCGTCAAATTTGCTGTTAAAAATAGTAAAAAATGCCAAAATAAAAAATGAATAATTGCAATTTCAGTACTCAAACTTTTTATATTTTTACAAATTCAATTCAATGTTTTTAATATATGCCACCTGCAACCCCAAATCTTTAAAACTTTATTTTCAACCCTATCCCACCACGTCTCCTTCCCCAAACTTCACCTTGGAAGAAACCATATGATCAAATAGCTCAACAACTTCCTTGCACCGATTCATTTTCACGTACCCAGCGGAAAGGGTTACCCCAAGAAACAACATCTCTTTCACGCATTTAGTCGAACAGATAACGGGCCTTATCAATCTCCCACCTCAACAGACCCATCAATGATCAAATTATAAGTAACCACATCTCTATACAAACTTTCATCATACAACTTGTATGCAAGGTCAATTTTCCCATTTTTACAGTATATACATGCCAAGTGAATTGCACACAACATCATCCGAGAACCCAAATTTAATTGCTTCAGAATGAAGGGTTTTGGCGAGTGAAAGTCCATTCTGCAAACAACCACGAGCTTTTATAGCAAAACGGTATGTATGAAAATCAAGTGGGATTGATTCTTGGCGCATTTTGTTATAAAACATCAAGCCAGTGCGTGGAGTAAAGAGTATAGAATATGCCCGGATCATG